CATCAGGCCTTTCATACATCTGCTAAACTTATCGCAGCAGAATCCTCTTTTCAAGACACATCTGTGAGTCTGTCTTGGAACACGTGTTCCCGGAACATTGCTGGGAGCTGCAGAGCTTGTGCCAGGCGGCAGACACACGGAGTCTGCAGAAAGGAGAGAGCATCTTCTAAGAAGATGCTGGAGCTTTCTGAAAGAATTGAAACAGCAGCTCAGAGCCTAGTTAAGGAAGGCAAAATGTGTCTTCCACAAACCGCCCTGGGCCAAAGCCTTGGTAGCCCACTTGACCTGCCGCTCCCGGAGGCCTGGCTCTCCAGGCCTATGGACGTGCTTGCGTATGTACAGACGAACGTAGGAGCGCAGAGGTGACGCCGTAAGGCAGTCCCCAGGGTTCGACCGCGCAAGCTTGCGAAAGTCCTGGTCGTCCAGGGACATGCTCTTTCCAGCTGCCCTCTGGCCCCTCCCCCTGGCCACCCAGCCACCCGACTTCGTGATGTGCATGTAGCACATCATTTTAGGAGTAGCGTTAGTACTATTATTACCTACTGATCAGCACATCTATCAAATCAAACTGTTAACATCTTCTGTTTGTTTCAGGAAGAAACAAAGATAAAGGACAACCAGGCTCAGAAACTGTTATTTTTATTTAATAAACATTTGCATCCCAGAATTGAGTGTGTCCGCCTCACGCACGCATCGATAGATAAACACTCGCTTCCTCCCTGCATGTTCAGGCCTCTCGTTATAACAAAGGCACGTTTGGGCAGGAGGATGGGGCCACCCCAGTGGTGGCTGCAGTTGCCACGGAGGCCCCGAGCAGGCCAGCGTGCCGTGGCTGCGCTCCCCAGGGGAGCAGGACGCTCATCTCCGGGCGTCCTTGTGTGCCAGGGTGCGTGGCGGCCCTGGGCTGCTGCCGCTAAAACTCCTAGACTTGTGTTCATTTGTCACGCACACTGCCGCTCACTTTCGTAGTTCGTTCTCTCTCCGCTCTATCGTATCCTTCAAGCTGTAGTGCGGATTTTAAAAAAGATTTATTTACTTACGCATGTAAGAATTGGGGTGTGGGCTAGAGAGGCGGGGGGTGGGTGGGGAGGTGAGAGGCCTCACCAGAGTCAGAGTGGGGAGCAGCACAGGCGGATGGACTGAAGTCCACTGCTGAGGGGAGCAGCGGGGAGACAGGAGCCTGCTGCGCCCTGGGGGTCAGCTGGCACTGCTGGGCTGCGGTGGGTGGCAATAATTTGGCAGCGCCGTCTTTAACCTGCGCCCCAGGGAGGCCCCTGTGGTGTGGACTTTTTGAATGTCTGATGGGGGCTCTCTGTGCCCTGCAGATTATGTGTAACGCTGGATCTGTAATGTTCATCTTACTAAAGGTGTAAATTCAAAAGGTTGAATTTTGCTTTACTAATGCACATCGAAAGGCAAAATTATCCTAAAGCCTTTAGATCCAAGATATTGTATGAATAAACTTGGTGTTTTTCTAAATAATAAAATAAAAACTGTCACCCTCAGGGGGCCTTTGAAAAACATTTGATCAATACCAATTGAAGAATGAAATCACTTTACACAACAGTTAGCCCATATAGAAACACACTGAAGTACCTTCTCATTTAAAAACTGAAATTATACTTATATAATTTGTAACTTATAAATATGGTATATTTAACTTTTAAAAAGGGCCCTCCCTGGTGGTGCAACGTGTTAGCACTGAGCACTGCAAGCGAGTTTCAGCTGCCTCAGTGCGAGTTCAATCCCTGGCCCGGAGCTGACCCACATGGCACGGCAGACCTCTCCTGACCCGCCCGCTGCTCCCCTCAGCAGTGTACTTCCTCAGTCTGCCTGTTCTGCTCCCCACTCTGTCTCTGGTGAATCCTCTCACCGCCCCGGCACTTCTGGCCTGTACCCCAATTCTGTCCGCATAAATAAATATTTTTTTTTAATAAATCTTTTTTTTTTTTAAAAAAGCCCTTAGTCTATCTGGGAGCGCTTGACACCATATCTTCCTGAGACTTTGTCAGCCATCCTGAGCCTAAAATAAGGATCAGCCACTGGTGTCTCAAGCGCCACCTCCATGTCTTTTCATGCTCTACCTGCTGTGGGCATATGGCTGCCCCTGTCTGCCGCTAACCCAGCCTACTCTGACTCTTGGAGTCCGGATGTTTGACCTTGGCTCCAAGTGCACCTTGTTGAGTGAGGAGCTGCGTGACTCTGCCTCCTGCATATTCACGTTCAGACGTGGCTGGTGGAGCCAGAGCTCACCCCAAGGAGCCATCAGCCTTCCCCCATTCTCTGGTATGAACAATGAGTGGAAATATTCTTGGTCAAATGCAAGTCACGCCGACGTTCCTGACCGATCCCTCCCTTCAAGCAGAGTCCCTCTTCTAGCAGAAATTATGAAGCTGTCATGTCTCCTTCTGTCCACCTCAGATGAACTGTCGTAAGGCTTCTTTATAGGACGTAGCATGACTGACCTGCTTCGTTGCTTACTCCTGACCATCAGCTGCATGGGAGCTGTGTGATGTTCTGTTTGCCAACAACCGTCCAACGTTGATCTCGACTAGACGGTCAATCATTATCAGAGAAATGAGTGAATACCACGGTTGCGATAGCAGTCAACCATTCGCCTTAAATCATAACTATGACAATCATTCATGTAGCCACTTTGGACCCCAGGGGAGGGGCTGAGTAATTAATTACTTGTTGAATTGAGTGGAGAAAGCTAAATGCCAGCATCTCATACTCCCTCAGCACAGTTACTTTATCACCTCTGAGTCTTCCCACGTTCAGCGTTCAGCCTTCTGTGGCTTCTAAAGCTGTAGCCTCTTGGTTCTTAGCAATCCTCTTACACCGAAGAGCACAATTTAGATAAATGTGCCTTTTGGGGAACTGTCGTACCTTAAAAAAATAGTCACTGAACATTAGCTAATTAATTGGTTTACAGTTAGTGATAAATTTTGCCTAGTGTAAATATAAGTTTGACGTGATACTTGCTAATTTTGTTTGTTAACTCAGGTATCCCAAGTGATGCTCACTACGGCCCCCCTGTTCCAGAGCACAACATGAGCTGTTGAATGACAACTGTGGTTGTCGCTTGGTTCTGTGGTGCTCCTGCTCGCGCCGGCCCCCTCTGCCCGGCTCCCCAAGAGCCTTGCGCGATCTCCCCCGCGCTCACCCCTCAAAGGCGGAACCTTGGCGAGTACAGAACTGAGCTAGAGCTGCATTTAGAACCCGCTGGCTTTTGCGCAGTCTGAGGTCTTCTGCACCGGCTGAGTTTTCCCAGCCCTGACCCTGGACCTTGGCACCTGCTAATGCGCCCCGCCTAGCTGAGTTGGGGCGCTGCGTGGTATGGCCACAGAAAAAGCACAAAAATGTAAAGTCAAAGGCAGGGTTGAAAGAAGACAATTCAGGCTTATTTTGGTGTTTATAGCGCCCGAGCTATTTTGGGAACCCGAATGGGGAGACAAGCGTTTTATTGGGGGGGGGGCGGTTTGAAGAAAACAGCGGCACAGCTCGGCGGCGTCGGGTGGGGGGCAGCGTGGAGGCGCGCCCGCCCCTCGCGGTGACCTGTGCGTCGCGTGG